GAAGTTAGAGGGTTGACATGTTGTGGGGTTGTTAACCAATGTCCTAAAACAATATGTGTACTACTGTTTCATGAGAAACTATTTGTTCTGTAAGCCTTCGCCTGAAGTACAATTAAAAAAAAAATCATATTTGACCAAAAAAAAAAAAAAAAAATTCTATCCTTCCCAGACTGCCTGTTCCCAAACTCCCCTCATCCTTTCCCTCACAGCCTTCAAACCTATTCTCCTTTCCTTTTATTGAAGTACTCAGCTGCAGCAAGCAATCCTGAGAGTTCCTTTAGGGAAGTGCTACCTTAGGAATTTGGAGCCCTGATGGCACAGTTAAAAGCCTGGCTGCTAACCAAAAGGTTGGCATTTCGAATCCACCAGCTGCTCCTTGGAAACCCTATGAGGTAGTTCTACTCTGTCCTATGGGGTCGCTGTGAGTCGGAATCACCTCTATAACAACATTTTTTTTTTTGCCTTAGAAATTAAGCTGTTAGACTAGAGAACAGTAAGGCCTAGTATCTCACAATACGTAGTGGGAAAATCTAGAGATTAATTTTGGCTCTGCCAATAACCATGTAATTTAATGTGCGTGTGCATGTATGTCTCAGTTCACTTATCACCTGAGTGAGGTCTTTCCTATCTACCTTACATGGACTGCTGGGAGGATCAATGAGATAATGCTGAATTACTACAGTATAATATTCCTGAATCTAGTTATTCTCTGCAGATTTTCATGAGCATCCTTGCCCTTCCCTTCCACACTTCCTGGGCTGCCCAGCAGTGCCATCCTTAGAACCAGGCAGGAGAAGCCCCCTGTCCCACACTCTGCCCCTCCTCCCTGCCTTGCCCTCCCCCAAACCATGAGACGTTGATGGAACCAAGGGGGGCATACCTTCTCTTTGAGACCATACTTGGGGAACCAGGAGCCCTGGAATTTCCTGCCCAAAGGGCTCTTTACTCACTTTCAGGGCACGTGTGGGCCTTTTCCCTGAGTTCTTCCCTCCAAGGGAGAATTCTAGCACTGGCGGGTGTACCCCAAGGCCCCAGGGTGGCCAAGGAGAGGCTGTTTGCAGGAAGAATGGTGACAGCTTAAGCATATCGATGGGTATCCCATGCAGGAATGCAAGAACCCCCAGAGTGTGGGCAGGAACGCAAGATCCCCCACAGTAATGGGTAGAAAGGGGGATAGGCTAGGGCCAGGGGTCAGCTCTTCCTGCTCCGCCACTTTGTGGCACTGAATTCCAAGACTGTGAGAACTCTACATGTGACTTTGGCCTTCCATGTGGCCATAAAGATATGTTTGTCAAGGTAAAAGGATTGAAGATATTTTATGTACCAGTTAGTTGGCTTGATTTTTAACTCTGAAGTATTTAAACATATAGTACGTGGGTCTCCGTGTGTACTCCTGCCTTGGGCCCTGCAAAAGTTAGAGGTAGACCTGATATCCAGAGCTTGCCGCCTGGAATACCATCCTCAAGGAAAGGCCACTGAGGGTCCAGGCCACCTTAAAGCTAGTCTCTAAATTTTGCTGACTGAGATCTAGGTCTTCATTTCTCAGAGATTTCTAGGTATATAACAATGTGGAATGACCCCTTGATTCCCACAGCATTGACAGGGAAGTTAGACTTCTAGTTTCAAGGCAATTTGACCTAGGTAAGGCCGAGAACGTTCCCTCTAAAGGTGACAAAGTTTCACTCTTCCACATCTGCCTCCCTCCCCAGCCTGCAGCAAGCAGACTGATAATAATGCTGGGAACAATAATCACGTATTACTATTATGTGTCAGGGAAGTAGGGGGAAGAAGTGATATTACTGTCTATTTTAGAGATGAACAACTGGAATGACAAAGGTGTTGGCCAAGAGGGAAGACTGTAGCTCACGTGGGGCAAGTAGCAATGAGGCCACTGAGGTACAGCTGATTCTTTTTTTTTTAATTCATTTTATTTTTGTTGTCGTTGAGAATATACACAGCAAAACATACACCAATTCAACCATTTCTACACGTACAATTCAGTGACATTGATTACTGCTTTCTTCGAGCTGTGCAACCATTCTCCCTCTCCTTTTCTGAGTTGCTCCTTCCCATTAGCATAAACTCACTGCCCCCTAAGGTTCCTATCTGATCGTTCAAGTTACTGTTGTCAATTTGATCCCATATAGAGAGATCTTAAGAGAGCATAATGCTCAAGGCAGACATTGTTTACTGATTAAGTGAGGTATAGCTGATTCTTGATTGGATGTAGCAAGAGGGTCAGGCTGGGTGTAGACCACCGTGGACCTGCATTCTTCCTCTACATCTCAGGGGAGAAAAGGATGGGCTCCTGTCTGGCTCAGGGAGGCGGTGGGTTTATCAAAATAAAAAAGATGGATAAGCAGGTACAGGCTTTTTCCTTCCTTAAATAGGGCCCTCTCACCAATCTCACCCCAAGATATGAACTCATTGCGGGAGGCCAGTGGTGACAACTTTTCAGAAACTGAATTGAAGGAACATCCTCTTAAGGCACCGTTCAGAGGCACCCTCCCTTAACACCCCTCTTCCTACTCCCCCCGGTCACAACACAACAGTTCCTGGGAGTCCTAGCCCAGTCCAAGCCTTTTCTCTCTCCAAAGGAAGCTGCGCCCGGCTGAGGTGATGTCATGCTTTTGGACCCCCACCCCCAAGGGGCCTCCCGCACCCAGACAAACGGTTTGAACTTTTCCGGATATGAAGAGACCTGCTGCTAGTTCTGAGGACAGGGGCGTCTGTTCCAGAAG